GGAGCCCAGAACTGGACCCAGTGCTCCAGATGTGGCCTCCTCAGGGCAGAGCAGAGGGGGAGGATGACCTGCGGCCACCCTCTTCTTAATGTACCCCAGGAGACCATTGACCTTCTGGGCCACAAGGGCACATTGCTTTGGCCAAGGACACCCCATGCAAACCTGAGCCCTCCACCACACCAGGCTCAACACCAACCGCAGGGGTCCCGCTCTGCCTGCCCATGCAAGGGTCCGAGGAGGAATCCCCTGGTCTCTGCCTGAGTTGCTGTAGGTTCTCTGTTCCCACCATGGGTGGGCAGCATGTCCTCCCAGTGGTGCTCCAAATCTCCACACTGTCCCACCTTCTCCCTTGGGTGCTTCTTCCCCACCACAGCTGTGCTGACCCAATACAGCTATTGTCCAGGGCGGTGCATGAGAGGAGGCCAGCAGAGAGCTGGGCTTGTCCTTCCACCAGTGACACAGCTCAGCTCAGTGGCATTGTGACACCACCAGCTCAGTGTGGAGCAAGGCACAAAAGGCCAGGCACAGGGCAGCACAAGGACCTCTCCCCTCCACAAGCTTGAGATTCAAAGGTTGCGATGACCCCACCTCTATGACTCAGCTGCCCCCTGTCCTGCAGATGTCTGGGTGGTCTCTTCATGGTGCAGCCAAGGGACTGATGACAGCGTTGAACTCCCTGGACATGGCAGGAGACACATGTATCTCCTCCCAGTGACGCTGTACCTTTCGGTCCAGCATGAAAACACAGATGATGAGAGGGTTGGCCACAGATGAGCAGGAGCATTGTTTCTGCAGCCCTGTGTGTGGGACAGACTGGGATCCCCGTCGAGCAGACAAGGGAGGGAGAAGGGCAGCCCTGGGGCAAGAGGGCAGCACCAAAAACCATGCAGACACCCAAGTCATTCAGAGATGCCAGAGCCACCCTCCACCACTTCCTGGTCAGCCAGGTTTGATGTGGAGAGCATCTCCCATCGCAAAGGTTCCCACCATTGCTGAGGGACCAGCATGCACACACCAGTGCTCAGGGTATGTCAAGATCAAAGAGGCCGGAGGAAGAAAGAGGTGGGCATGGACAAAGGGAGGACACAAAAGGCTGTTCTGTCTTCCGCCACCACTCTGAGGTCTTTTGGGTTGGGTACGAGCAAGATGAGGAGCTCAGGGTGGCAGGAGTAATCACTTCCCAGGGTAATCAAGGTGCACAGGACCTTCCTCTCTCCCAAGCCTCAGGAAGACTCCTGTAGATTGAGGATTCACCAGCTGCAGCAGATACGCAGGGGCGGACGTGGTGTGGGGACAAACCCCTGCCCAGCACGGGCAGCATGGTGGGCAGGAGACCTTTGGCTCTTCCAGCCCCCCCATACACGCGCACATAGAAGTGTGTATATAAGTTGCCATCGACAGCGATGAGCTGGTTGTGCAGGCGGGAGCAGGGGTTTCTGTGCCCAGCTCTCCCCCCTGACGCAGCCCAGATCCGTGACTCATCTGGGGCAGCCAAGGGCCTTGAAGTGCCACGACGGCTCTAAAAATATTTTGCACAAAGAAATCCTTTTGATCCCAGGTGCTCTGAATTCTTTCCATATCTGTGAAAATAAAAGAGCCTTTAATATTTGGAGCACCGTGGAACTCAGCAGCCGCGGTGACGGCAGCCATTAACTGTTACCGTGCGTTTCACCAGAAGGAGGCGGGAACCGCCGCCCGGAACCTGACGCCCTTTTGGGCCAGAAAGACAATTTCAGCCTCAGTCCCTCACCTTCCCCCCCTGCCCGCGGCACCCCCCGCCGGGCCCCGTCCCTGAGGCTGGGGCACGGAGAGACTTCACTCCCCGAGCACCCCCGCGGGCGCGGGGCGGGGTTCCCGCCGGGGGGCACGGACAGGGCCGGGGGGAGCGCTGGGGGGAGCTCGGGCGGGACGCAGGGACAGGCCCGGAGCTGGGCCACCGCCGGCAGCGGAGGGCCCGGGTCGGGCTGGAGGCAGGCCCGGCTGAGGGCCGGGCCGGGGCACGGGGCTGGGGCCGTGATCGTATAGTGGTTAGTACTCTGCGTTGTGGCCGCAGCAACCTCGGTTCGAATCCGAGTCACGGCATCGCCCGGCGGTACCACGGCACACGGGCTCCCCTTTTGCTCCCAACACCCCGGTTCAGTTTATTTCATTAATTTAGTTCAGTTTTTTATTTTAGTTGAGGTTTTTCTTTCAGTTAACTTTATTTTTCAATTTTAGTTTCGTTATTATTTTATTTTGCTTAATTACTTTTGTTGTGTTTAGGGTTTTTTTTAATGTTAGTTTGATTTATTTGAATTTATTTCATTATTTTTTTATTACAGTATTCTTTTATTTTATTCTATTTTTCGTTTTATTTTAATTTTACTTTATTTTACTAGTTTCACCCCCCGCGGTGGCGTTGCTTGTCCCCCTGCCCCCCCGCACAGTCCCGGCCCCGCAGCACCGCACCCTGCCAGGGGCCGGGAAAAAACCCCTTCGTGAGCTACGGGCGAGACGCGGGGCAGAAAAAAAAAACTAAATAAGAACTTTTAGGGAGCGGCGGCCCGGGGCAGAGCACCAAAAATCGGAGCCCGTGTGCCGTGGTACCGCCGGGCGATGCCGTGACTCGGATTCGAACCGAGGTTGCTGCGGCCACAACGCAGAGTACTAACCACTATACGATCACGGCGCGCTACCGGGGCTCCGGGCGGGGCGGGCGGCGCCGCAGCCCTTGGCCCCGCTGCTGCCGGGCGCCCCCCCGCGGCGCCGCCTCCGGCGGCGTGGATGGAGCCGCTTCAGCGAAGGTGCTGGGGACAACCCGCGGGGGGAAGGCGCCGCTCGTGTGGGCGGGGAAGCGGCACAGGGAGAGCTTCCTGCGTGGGCACCCCGGGCCCCCCACGGCAGCGATCTCTGACCCTGCTCCTGCGAGCGGGCCACGGAGATGCTGGGAGGGCTGGAGCTGTGAGGGCAGGCTGAGAGAGCTGGGGGCTTCAGCCTGGAGAAGAGAAGGCTCCGGGGAGACCTTAGAGCTCCTTCCAGTCCCTCAAGGAGCTCCGGAAGAGATGGGGAGGGACTCTGGATCAGGGAGGGGAGCCCTAGGAGGAGGGGAAAGGGTTGACACTGAAAGAGGGGAGAAGGAGATGAGCTGTGGGGAAGAACTTCTTTGCTGTGAGGGTGGTGAGAGCCTGGCCCAGGTTGCCCAGAGAAGCTGTGGCTGCCCCATCCCTGGAGGGGTTCAAGGCCAGGTTGGAGGGGGCTTGGAGCAACCTGGGCTGGTGGGAGGTGTCCCTGCCCAGGGCAGGGGGTGCCACTGGGGGGGCTTTAAGGTCCCTTCCAACCCAAACCGGTCTGTGACTCTGGGATTCCTAACCCCAGTGCTGGTTCCCATGTCACCCTTGGTGCCACGTTGCTTCACCACTCCCTGTGCAAAAAAAAACAAGGCTGGAAGAGCCCAGCCAGGTGCACACACGTGGGGGTGCGACTCCACCATCCTGCCTGAAACAGTGGCGTCCCACGCCTGCTGGCAGTCAGTGCTTCTGCTGGCGGTGGCCCCGTCCACCCTGCGCTGCCCAGGGAGCGGGTGACACACCTGCACCACCGCAGCCTCGGAGGCCGCGGGTGCCCGGCCCCTTTCCCAGGATGTGGGTAAAGGTTGGATTTCTGCTTTTCATATCTTCCCTCCAGGCTTGTTTTGCCGGGAGGTGAAAGTATCCCTAGGGATCCTATTTTGGGCGTGGGGCTGCCCCACACGCCCCCATGGGTGGCTGGGCGTGAGCCCGGGGAGGAGCAGGGGTGGCCACAGCCCCACGGGGCCCAGCCCAGCTCTTTGGACCGAGCTGTTAATCGGTAACCGGGACCGGGAGCTGCGCAGCTGGAGCTGGCGGGTGAGTCTGGGGGCACATGGGGCATGGGGGGGGCATGAGGCCCGGGGGAGCGAGGACATAGGGGGAGCAAGGGCGTGGGGCACAAGGAGGTGGGGGGGCGCAATGGAGTGGGGCAAGAGGGCATGAGAATGCAGGGGGGGGGGCATGAGGGGTGAGGAGACCACAGGGGCACAGGAGGCGTGAGGGCATGGGGCACAGAGACATGGGGGGCATGAGGACATGGGAGGCACAAGGCTGTGGGACACAGGGAGGTGGGGGTGCGAGGGCATGGGGCACAGGGACACAGTGGGGGTGGCAGAAGGGCATGTGGCCATGCCGCACCACGAGGCCGTGGGAGCCTACAGGGCGTGGGGGCGGAGGGAGCACGACATGAGGACATGGGGCACCATGGGGTGAGGGGCCTCATCAGTGGGGGAACCTGCCACCCCACTGATTGGCAGTCAATGAGGCACCACCAAAAGAAAAGACAGATGAGCCAGGTGTGGGGGTCACACTGGGGGGCCATAGAGGTCCTGGAGGGCACTGGGCCTGGGAGAGGCGGGAGCCCTCCAGGTATCCTAGAGCCCTGGGAGGTCCTGGAGGGGCTCCAGCTGGGGGATCTGGAGGGGTCACTGAGCCCAGAGGGGCCCTGGAAGACATCCCTGAAACAGTGGTGGGCCTGGAGGGGGGTCCTCCAGATCCCTGACAGGATCCTGATGTGGGGTTCCCTGAGCCCCAGGAGGTACCGGGGATGCTGGAGGCCCTGAAGGAGGTCTGGGATCCTGGATTCCCACCATGGTCCGGAATCTGCCCTGCTGCTGAGGAGCCATGATCCTAGGGACATGCTGGGGGCTAGCACAACTCACTGGTCCCCCTTGGTGGCTCCACTGGCCTGTGGAGCCCACCACCACCTTCAGCCGCCCTTAGGTCCTATGTTGAGGAGGATGTTCTCCAAAACCCCCCACCTCCACTCATTTCATTTGGGGCTGGGGTGCTCCCTTCAGTGGACCCTAATTCTTGGACTGCAGGAAGCAGGCCATGATCCTGCCATCTCCACCTTCTCCATTCAGACCTCTGTGACTCTCGTCCAAAGCAAGAACATCTCCTTACTCCCTCTCTCCTCGCATAGAACTGCTCCAATGTCCGATCGCTGCTTTCTCTGCTCTTCCCTCATCCTTCTCCAGATAGAAGAACTGGGAGAGTGTCCAAATGGGATTCTCCAAGGGTTCATGCCCCAGCATAACACTGGTTCTTCTGGTTTTGCTGGACCAGTTCTCCCAGTATGATCCTCTTTTAGGACCAGTCCCCATGCAAACTACCGCTTATTCCTACCCATCCCTCCTGCACTCCCTCCCTACTTACCAGCCTGAAAGGACCTTCTTTCTTATCTTACTCGGTTGCACCACGAGCTCTCAAGGAGGGATGCAGGCAGATTTATTTTTTGCAAAAGCTCACTTGCAAAGGGGCTCATGGAGGCTGGTTGCCACTGCCACCAACTTGGAGGATGGGTACCAGATCTCCCTGCTGCATCTAATCCTCTCCTGCAATTCCTTGGAAGCACTGAAGAGTACAGACCTTCCCAAATTACAGGAGAACAAGGAAGTCAGCAGACCAGCCCCATGGCTTGAGGACCCCATGGGATGGTTCCTTGATGTGTTGGTGCAAGAGCTGCTCTGAATCCCTACTGCAAAGGGCATTCTTCTCTCAGAGACCCAAAATTGAAAATCGGGGCTGGATTTTCATCCTTCCCAAAGCTGTTTCCCTTCTTCTCTTCCCAGCCAGTGTTGGTCCCTCGCAGTGGTGTTTCCCTAATGCGTTGAAGCTGCGGCGCTTCTGGAGATGGAAGAAAACCAGATGACCCTGAATAACCTTGAGAAGGGCACAGATAACCCAGCTTTCAGCTCCCTGGTAAGTCCTTCCTTCCTCTCTGGCCGGGGTACAGGAGCTGCTCAGTGTGTTCCTGCCAATGATGTTTTCCAGGGGGAGGAGAGACTCAATGAGGAATCTGATGGTCCACATGGTGAGAGCGAGGAGGAGAGGAGAGGAGAAGGGAGATTCTCCTCCTGCTGCAGGTAGGGGAACCCCTGGAGATGTGTGTATGTACAGTATTTCCAGTGGTCATAGCAAATATGCAATCCTTGGGCCAGTGTTTCTCCCGGAGCCAAGGCAGGGTTGCAAGTACCTGATCTGGGAGTACAGTAGGGCCATATTGACCACAGAGGACACACAGTACCTGATAGCTCTATATGACTTTGTAAGGTGGCAGTGCCAGGACTCTGTCCACCCAGAGCAAGCTTCTGCTTGGGGTGCCCAGGGTGCTGGTCTGTGTAATGGGGTCTTCCCTGCCATAACTGGCCAGCTCGCTCCTCAGGGAGTGGACAGCAGAGTGATAGAGGCCATGGCACACCTACACCACGCGCTGCTGCCACAGGTGCCCTCTGGGAGGCACGGTCATGACCCAGCTCCATTGAGTTGGGTTGGGCTGATCTTCAGGATCTATCTTCTGCACCTCTCATGTCTCTGGCATGTGACTCTTCCCAGGAAGGCTCTGCAGCCGGCATTCAAGGCAAAGCGCTTCTTCAAGGCTCATGCCAAGGTGTTGAAAATGGTTGTCCAGATACTTCTTGGAGTAGGTGAGGACTTCCAACCACTGAGATCCCATCTCCACATCCCTTTGGATGGCCATGCTCTCAGACTCCAAGCACTGGCCACAGCCACCAATGTGGAGGTTGTATCTGTTCTTGCCAGCCCCGCTGCTTTCCTCCTTCTCACCCCATCACTCCTGCCCATGAGTGCTACCTGCACCTCACTGTCCTCCTGCCCTTCCTCCACCTACCCGAAGGGTTTGCTGTGACTCTTCTGATTGCTCCCTGTGCCCCCAGACAGCTGAGTTGCTGTCAACTGTGAGCCCGGCTGGAGTGGTGCTCCCTAAGTCCTTCCCACACACAGATGGGAGCCTCAAGGGTGGCCAAGGAAGGACATTTGGAGGAAATGAACCCCATTGTTGGCCCCAGTTAGTGTTAAGAATCTGTGATCCTATGGCCCTGACATTTCTGACCCCCAACATGCCTTCTCCAGCCTACCTGTGCTACTTCATTGCGGCCTGTTGGCTCAACTTCCACCGAGCCCTTGCCTTGGTCATCATGACTGCTGTGGTTGTCTTCTTCACCTGCTGGAGCCTCTTGAAGAAGCACTGTGGGGCAAAGCTATTACTGCTCCTCAGCCCCGTTCAGAAATGCTTCCAAAAGTCCTGGCCGTGGCTGAAATGGTGAGTTGGGAAAAGGCAGGGCCACATCCCTCCCAGTGCCTGGTCCCCTGTCCCATGGCTGCCCCACCGGAGCTGGGCTGGTGCACCTCACAGCCAGTGGCATTGGGCACATGCCCTAGTGCCATGCAGGCACCTCATGAGTGATAAGGCACGGTCCAACCTGGGAACCACTGAAAAGTCATGGCAGAAACGTCTTGCTGCTCTACCTCAGTAGCATGATGGCTGCTCACACCCCTCGTTTGTGTCCGAGCCCCAGGTTTCATCAGATGTATGGACCTTACAGTGGCATCTCCTGCACGATTAGCTCCTGCCCTTCATGAGCTGCCCTCCCCATGAGGACATCCTCTCTGTGACAGTCTTGGATTTTCCTTTGCAGGCTGTTGTGGGTGGCCCTCCTGGGAGGCCTAATCACGTGGCTGGTTTTGGACACCTCCAGACATCCGGAGCAGCTCATCTCATTAGCTGGCTTCTGCTTTTTGGTGCTGTTCCTGTTTGCCTGCTCCAAGCACCACGGCGCAGTACGTGTTTCAGGTGTGGCTTGGCCATTGGTCCCCTGGCAGGAGGCAGCCACCCACTACTGGGGACCAGGTGCTCCCTTCCCACTGGCATCTCCAGATGGCCCATTGCTGGAGCTCCCCGGAGGAAGCAGAAGCCCAGCAGGGCTCCTGGGCAGAGCTGGGCACACCCTGGGGAGCTGAGCTTGTCGGGTGGGTGGAGACCCAAAGCTACCTCTGTCCCACAGGTTATGTGTCACCAGCCAGTTCCTGCCTCCCACTGACTCTTCTACTATCACCAACCTATGTTTGTGGGTTTCTATGACAGTTTATTTATGAGCAACCCCATGACCATCACCCAGGGCGCAGTGTGATGGTGTTTGCCATGTGCAGCTGTCAAAGGGGCAGGAAGCCAGAGAGGGAACTCTGTAGGCTTTGCTAATGTCTCAGTCCCCATTCTGCTTTTGGTCCCCAGGTGTCCTGGAGAGCCGTTTTCTGGGGTCTTGGCTTGGAGTTCTTGTTTGGACTCTTCGTCCTCCGAACATCCCCTGGCGTCCAAGCTTTCAAGTGGCTGGGTGACCAGATCCAGGTACTGAGTCTGCTCATTCTGTCCCACGCTTGCACTCTCCTGTGATCAGCAAGAAGAGCAGAGGGAGGCATGGGGCAGACAAGCTGCAGGGACTGCAAGCTCACAAACAGTTTTCAGGGGAGCTGGAGAAAAGCCAGCTCTTTCCTGGTTTTCTGAAGCAGCCCAGGCCCTTTGGTCTCCCTTGCAGGGTACAGAGGCCTGTTAGGTTGAAGTGAGATGTCAGGGAAAGAGCTAACGGAGACCTCTGTCCTACCATGTAACTTCTCCACTTGCAGTTCTTCCTGGGCTACACCACAGCTGGCTCTGGCTTCGTCTTTGGGAACGAGCTCATTGAAAACGTCTTTGCCTTTCAGGTCAGCTTGGGGAATGGGGCATGGGAGGGAGAGGCACAGCCTGTTTTTTTTCTGGCCTGGCTGCCTTGCTGGGTCCTGGAGAGTGTGGAGCTGAATGCAGCCAGTGTTGCTGGAGCAGAGCTCAACCAGCTCAAGGATGGGTCTCTCTCAGCTTTGTACCCATCTATAGGCCTCCTCAGTGCCATAGGGGATTTGCACTGGCCCCTGCCCCTCCTGCCAGCCTGGCCCAGTGTCATGGCACCCCAATAGCTTGGGTTGGCGATGCAGCACCATGCCATGCCCACCCAGCTCATGAGACAGAGGGGCTTGGTCTCCAAGTGCACTTAGATGTGTTGCTCAGCTCTCCTTTAACCCTATGCCCTGGTGCCTTGCCTGCAGACTCTGCCCATCGTTATTTTCTTCAGTTGTGTGATGTCCATCCTCTACTACCTGGGTGCCATGCAGTGGCTCATTGTCAAGGTAGGGCCTCACACCTGGCTCTGGGATGGGGGTGGAAAGGAGAACAACCTGTTGTTCTCTGACTACATCATAGATCAGCTGAAGGATATCTCAGGAAAACTGGGATGGTCCTAATTTGGGGTGATTTGTCTTGCTAAAAGAACACACACAAACCCCCTCTTCCTTGCATATCCTCCTGAGAAAGCTCAGCCCTGCGGTTGATGTTGCTACCTGGTTTGTGGGCGCTTCCCGAGATCACCTTTGTTGCAGTAGGCTGGAGGGCCAAATGGTGCCCTGCTTCGTGGATTGGGTGGCAGGGTGCCAGAAGCCTTTGTGAATGCGGTGGCCCTGTCTTTCCCCAGATCTCCTGGCTGCTTCAGGTCTCAATGGGCACCACTCCTACTGAGACGCTCAGTGTGGCGGGGAACATTTTTGTGGGACAGGTAAGGTCCTGGGCAGGAGATCCTGCCTCTCGACCCTTGCAGCTTAGCCTGCCCAGAGGAAGGGTCTTCTCCCTTCCCAGGAGACCTGTGGCCCTGCCTCAAGGACAACAAGGTTTTCTCCCTCACAGACGGAAGCCCCGCTGCTCATCCGCCCGTACCTTGCAGACATGACCCGTTCAGAAATCCACGCTGTGATGACTGGTGGCTTTTCCACAATTGCAGGCAGCGTGATGGGTGCCTACATATCCTTTGGGGTGAGCAGACACATGCCACATGCTCCCAGCTATGGGGTCCCAACGTGTAAGACCTGCTCTGGACTTGCAGGGGACAGAAGACCCCCCAGCAGGTGCCCCATGGTCCCCTTCCATGAGCAGGATGAGGGCAGTGTGCTTCCGTGTCCAGCCTCACGTTGGCTGGTCTGGCCAAAATTCCGAAGCCCTGCCAGGTAGAAGGCACTGCTGTGGGACCCTCACTGCATGTCCTTGCACAGCAAACAGGGCAAATCTCACCAAATCACAGGGTAATTTAGCCTGGAAGGACCCTCTGGAAGTCTCTGATCCACCCTTCTGCCCAAATGAGGTGATAGCAAAGCCCAAGGGCATGCCCAGGGCGTGGTCCAGGTTGGTGGTGAACATCCCCAAGGACTGAGATCTTCCCCTATCTCTCGGGTCCACCCCACAGGTGCCCCAGTCACAGGGAACCATTTTTTCTTTATATCCAACTGGAATTTCCCCACTGAAATTGTGTTGTTTCTTCTCACCCTTTCACTGGGGACCTCTGAGAGGTGTCTTCCCTTTCAAGTAGTTGGGAACAGCCACTACAACACCCCCAGCTCTCTTTTCTCCCGGCTGAACAAGCCCAGCTCCTCCAGCATTGCCTTGGTGGTCCTGTGCCCTGCCCCCCCAGGATGCCCACTCCAGTTCATCAGTGTGTCAGCCCTGGACACAATGTCCAAACGTGGCCTCATCAGCGCTCTGTAATGGGGAATAAACCTTCTCCTCGACCTGCTGGCTGAGCTCCTGCTATTTAAACATTAATTAGTCTCCTTAAATGGGGAACCAGGGGTGAAAGGTCAGAGAAATGAGACATTGCCACTCGGCGGGCAGGGGAGGGGTGAGACGGGGAGTGTGGCTCTTCGTCAGCAACTAGAAGCTCGCAATGTTCCACAACCTATTGCTCTGACACTGATAAAAAGGGACAAGGAAGGGACAAAAATCACAACAATGAGGTCAAAAGCAGGAGAGATGATTAACATCTCCGAGGCCGTGATGGCTGCGGCTCCAGCAATGCATCCATCCAGGTGATCTGCCCTGTGTGCCGTGGCTGGCTAGGATGGGAAAAACAGAGACATTTTTCCCACCCTGAGCAAACCAAGAGCCCTGAACCCCCCGGAGCAGCGGCGATGCCAGCCGTGTGCGGGGATGCCCTGGGGTGGCACGGAGGTGCCCAAGCCCACGCTCTGCGCATTGCAGATAGATGCGGCGTCGCTGATTGCAGCCTCCGTGATGGCTGCGCCCTGTGCCCTCGCCATGTCCAAACTCGTCTACCCCGAAGTGGAAGAGTCCAAGTTCAAAGGCAAAGGAAGCATCCGCCTCGCCCGTGGGTGAGTGAGGCGCGGGATGGTGGAGCGGGGCTGCACACACCCTGCCAGCTCCGGGGAGCCACGGGGGCAACGTGGGGCCACAGCGCACATTGCGAGTGACCTGAAGCTGGGAGAGCCCGAGGTGTGAGGACACCCACGGAGTGAGAGGTGGCCCCACACAGGGGATGCGTGGCAACGCGAGTCCATCAGAATCTTTCTCCATGCAGGGAAGAGCAGAACATCCTGGAAGCTGCAAGCAACGGGGCTGCTGCCTCCGTGGGGCTCGTGGCCAACATTGCAGCCAACCTCATTGCCTTCCTGGCGGTGCTAGAATTCATCAATGCTGCTTTGCGCTGGTTAGGGGAGATGGTGGACATCGAGGGGCTGTCCTTCCAGGTAACCAGCCCCATGGAGTGGGCTGCCAGAGCCTGCATCCCCCCACAATCCCCAGCATTGCCTGCTGCCCCAGGAGGCTGCCAAGACTCTTGCTGGGTGTTTGGCAAGTGCTGGCAGCAGGTGTCCAAGCCAGGGGCTATGCACATGGTCAGCTCTGATTTGTTCCCTTCTGGGATGCTTTTCCCAGGTCATTTGCTCCTACGTCCTCATGCCTGTGGCCTTTCTCATGGGGGCAGACTGGGCAGACTCACCGCTGGTGGCTGAGCTCCTGGGGATCAAGATCTTCCTGAACGAGTTTGTGGCATACCAGCAGCTGGCCACGTACAAGAAGAACCGTCTGTCGGGCCTGGAGGAGTGGGACGGGAGCCAGAAGCAGTGGATATCTGTGAGGGACACCTGCCAGGCACAGGGCAGGGATGGAGCCAGGCAAAATGGGGCACGGGACCTGGCCAGGCAGACGGGTGATGGGCAGGCAGGGGGGATGATGCTGCTGGGGGTGGGAGGGCACTTATGGCCAGCTAGACCTGGATGTCCACGCACTGCTGGGCACAAGTTCATTCTGAAGGAATCAGTGAAGCCCTGTCCAATTTATTCTGCTCCTTGGTGGGGCACATCATGGTGCTACATGGCCCCTTGTCCCCCCAACCCAGCCTCTCCCAAGGGCGAGGTGCCTACCACCTGCATCCTCACTCCCAAAAATAGCTGGAGGAGAAAGGATTGAGATGGGACTTGTTTCCATCATGTCTGGCTGGGCTGGGAGCTACGACATGGTGCTCAGCTCTGGGTGCTCTGGGGTTGGTGCTGGGCCAAGGTGACCAGCCCCTGCCGCTGTCTCCTCCAGGAGCGAGCTGAGAGCATCACCACCTTTGCGCTCTGCGGATTTGCCAACCTCAGCTCCATCGGGATCATGCTGGGAGGCCTGGGTGAGTGTGACCTGCGTCCACTGGGCACCTGGGTACCATGCAGGGAGATCCTGGTCCCAGGGAGCAAGGGCTCAGCTAGAGCAGGGGGAATTTGCTGCCCTCAAGCCTCTGTGCTTGGTCTCTGCCAGCACACAGATAAGAAACAGGACTTGCATGCAGTGACAGGGATGATTTTGCACTGCACCCATGGGCAAGAGCACGTGCTTGTGCCACAAGCCCAGGTGCCACCCAGCCATGGGGCAAAGAGCAGAGACTCCAGTGCTGAGAGCACTGAGGGCTCTGATTGATGGTGACTGATGGGTGCAGGGCGGGATGGGTGCTCTGCCAGCACCCATTGCTGCCAGCACAGGCAGACAGCGTGCTGGTTGCTGGCTGGTACCACCATGTTCCCCCAGCACTAGGGTCTGGGGGGGCAGGGCACACCTGTCCCCAAGCTGGGGTAGAGCTGGAGCAAGGCTCTGACTGGCACTGGTGTCTGCTTTGCCCTGCAGCCTCCATGGTCCCCCACCGCAAGGGCGACTTGGCCTCTGTCGTGCTGCGAGCCCTGCTCACTGGCATCTGCGTCTCCATGCTCAACGCCTGCCTGGCAGGTAGGTCTGTGCCCACAGCCAGTGGGGCAAGAGAGAGCCAGTGAGGGACAGGTAAAGGGCTGAAGACCCATATAAATGCAGATGCAGGGAGGGGACGGCTGGGCTGTCCTCCCTGGGGCTCTGTCAGGGCCTCCAAACCCTCTGCTGTCCCCCCATGGCTTCACCAGGTGCTACCCAAGCCCAATAGCTCTGCTGGGCGCCCTCACCCACAGCTGGGCTGGGGATATTTGGGGCACTGCGAGGAGCTCCCCAGGGCCACTACCATCTGGGGAGCGAGGTGGGACAGTGCACAGGACCCACACATAGTCCCAGGTACAGGACTTGCAAGGAAGCATGGTTAGGGTGTGGGATTTGCAAGTGGGATTGGGGCATAGGATGTGCAAGAATGCTTAGGGTACAGGATTTAGATGCGTGGTCTCTTGAGAGACCCAGCCAGGAGACTTTGTCCCCCAGGTCTCCTTCATGTGCCGACGCCGCTGGGTGACTGTGTGACCTTCCTCAGCACCACCAACTTCAGCTCTACCAGCTACACCATGTACATGTGCTGCAAGGACCTCTTCGCCAGGTGGGGGTGAAGGAGCCGTAGGGTCCTGCCCGGGGATGCGGGTGGTGGGATGGCAGCTTGCCCTGACCCGACTTCTCTCCTTCCAGCTCGGTGCTGGAGAACGGGACACTCTCCTTCACAGGACCCTGGGAGAGCCAGGCAGAGAGCGTGCTGTACGTGATGCAGTGCTGCGGGCACTACAACCACACGTCCTGCGCAGGGACAACTTAGAAACCTGCAGGCAGCTGCCCACAGCGGGGAAGAGGGCCCAGGAGCACCAGGGTCTACCCCAAAGCTAGCAAAAACCCCACCAGAGACCCATGCATCTGGTCTTCTCCAGTGGTGGGACAATGGACAACCCTGCACACCTTGCACCAGCACCTCTAGGTGGTGACCCCACAGACACAAAGGAACTGCTCCCAAATAAACCATGGAAATCCCTGTGTGCCTGCCCTCAGCACCCCCAGCCCCAACCACAGCCATCCCACGGGGCGCTTTGCTCAGGCTGCAGACCTTGCAAGCCTGATGGTCAGCCTTAGGGTCCATCCCTGGCCCCCCTCTTCTCTCCCCCTCTGGCGTGCAGACAGGGGTAGAGCCATTACTTGAAGACACTTCCTTGCCCCGAACAGAAAGCCACCCCATCCTGCTGTGTGTTTGGGTGCATCCTTTCCACAGGGACCACAGTTCCGGGGAACAGGCCAGTCCTTCTCGCTTTATTGCACTCGAGAGCACCCATTCGCCAGCACGGCCATGGTATGTTCACTGGTATTTTACAATGACCCAACAACAAAGCACCAGGACTCCACAGCACTCCCAGCCCGGTCCCTTCTCCGCACCCAGCCACTGTTTGGGACACCAGCCTGCAGGGTTGCACTGCTGACACCCACGAACTAACAGCTTGGCAGCAAGATGAAGCAGCAATGCTGGGGCTCTTCGCAGGCCTTGCTGTCCACTGCCATGCTCTGCCGGTTGCTGTGCACTTGGGCAAGCCCACGGGCACAAGGGAGGCTGGAAGCAGGGCAGGGTGCTTTACTCACCATCACTACCCTTCCGTCAGCGCCGCAGGACCCGCGGTGGGTGCTGCCAGCGCGGCAGGGCGAGTGCCAAGGGGGGCTGACACTAGGCAAGCGTGACCAGGTGGTGCTGTGGGGCTGGGCAGGGCATACGGGGTCTGCATATGGCAGGTGGGAGAGGAGGGGTGAGTCCTGTGGGCTGGAGACCCACACAGGCCAAAGCAGCGCCGGGCAGGGAGGGGGGTCTCCCCTTTGCCCTGCTGCCAGGTGCCCCATGTGAGGTAGAGAATCCTGACCGTGGGGCTGGCAGCCCCCACAGCAGCACCGTGGCCCTGCAAGGGTGGGGAGGGTCACCCCAGGGAGCAGGGGTGCAAAATCCCGTCCCTGTGCAGCGGCTGGTACAGATGCCAGCGCCCTGCCCTGGGACTGGCCCACACCCCAGAGCCACAGGCAACAGCAGGAGCCCTGCAGCGTCACCGCTAATCCCCTCCGCAGCAAAACCTTCCAAATCACAGTGTGCCAGGGCAAACGGGAGTGCCTGGGCGCTGTTGGGGTTCACATCCTTGACTTGGAGTGTTGGCAAGGCTTGGCGCGGTGGCTGTATGGAGGACACAAAGAGGGACACAGGGCACTGGGAGGCAGGAGGGCAGCCCGGCCTCCCAGTTTGCTCAGGGGAACTAGGCAGGGAGCATGGCGCTGGCAAAGCCCAAGGGAGCAGCTCTGACAGGCACTGCCTTAAGGAAGGCAAATGGAGAGACTGGAGAGAGGAAAGTGAGCCTGAGCGTGGGGGACACACATGGCCCTGCAGGCTCCACCACCGGCAGCAGCTCTCATGAAGAGGTGTGGATGAGGGTTCCAGTTCAGAGCCCCTCCATGGCCCCAGCCGAGCTGCTCACAATAGCACACACCACACAACGCAGGCGCCACAGGCCGGGAGCTGAGGGGAGGAGAGCGGGGGCAGCGGCCGCTGCCAGTGTCTCCCTGTCCCGGCTGGACTGGGGGCTGCCTCGGGGCTGCTTGGGCTGGGGTCCGCAGCAGGGGGTCCCAGCCACAGCAGCTGCAGCTACTGCGGGTGGCCAGACCCACCGCTCTCTCCTGGCCTGGCCTCCCCCGTTTCCACAGCTCTCCGGGAGCTCTTGGGGCTCACAGCAGCTTTGCGGGTGCCCTGGGGACTTGCCAACCCCTTCTTCTGGAGCTGGGGGCTGGACTGGGCAGATTTCCTACCCATGGAGGGGCTCTTGGGGCCCTTGGGCTTGGCTGGCTCCAGTGTCTTCAGGCCCAGGATGCTGCAGTAACGGTTACACTGGTGAGCAGCCGCAAACTGCTCTAGCAGGGAGGGGAAGCAGCTTTCCTTCAGCCCCTGGAACCTGCCAACACAGCCATCCTCAGCCCCTGCTTTGCTTCAGGAGACGTCCCGCGAGAGCGAGGAGCCAAGAACGGAGCCCAGCTCACTACCATTGCCCTTTGCACGTGAGCAGTGGAGCCAGAGGCCACCAAGGCCACCCCGCGCCAGCAGCTCAGGTCACTCACCCTTTCAGGTTGGTAGCGATCCGCACATTGGTCATCTTCCAGCCCACTCCTGCAATGAAAGAGAGGACAACCAGTCTCTGCCCTGAGAAGGATGGGCACCAGCACGAAGGGCACGTCATTGCCCTGGGAGCTGGGCTCCATGGCACCTGGGGAAAATGGCAGGAGCGCAAGGCTGGGGCTTCTCCTCCTCCTTTAGCAGGTCAGAGGGTGGTGAGGGGAATCAGATGGGAGATTCCTTTACCTTCCATGTCCGTCACGAGAATGTTTCCATTCGTCCACTGGTAGACCCAATGCTGGAAGGCACAGCATTTGAGCACGATCTCTGAGGTGCCTCGTGCCACCAAGCTGCCATCTCTCTCAGTGACACAGTACTGCTCACAGGGCCCGCCCAGGTCCTCCTCCATCGTGGCATAGGGGATGTTGTTGGATGGTCGGTAAATCAGGTACACAGGAATTATCCTGCGTGGGAGCACACAGACAGGGTCAGCACCAGCTGGTGAGCTCTCCCATCGCAGCACGTGGGGAAGTGCACCACCGTCTGCAACCCTGGCCTTTGCCTTCCTCCTAATATCCCTCCCGCGTGAGGGTGGGAAAAGAGGGTGTTGCCCCTCAGGATGTCCCCAGCACCCACAGGGAACCCTCCCACCATCCCTGAGGACGCTCTGCCGGGCTCCCAAGCCCGTGGAGCTGCAGCGCCTTACTTACTCAGGCACCATTCCAAAATCAGGGACGGCTCGTGCCTCAGCAGCAAAGATCTTGCAGTACTCACGGCTGGAATTTTGGATTTTACATTCCTGGAGACACAAACAGTAGAGTCAGGACCCTGTCCCGCCTCGCACCAATGTGTCCCCAGGACCCTCACGCCTGGCAAGGTATCCCTTAGGACCACTGCCAGCTGCCTCCCTGTCCTGGTGGTCAAAGGACAAGTGACAGAATAGCTCTGAGCAGCTCAGTGTTGCTCAGAGAGAAGAGCTGAAGCCAAGAATAACAAGAACATCACCAGCCCATTGGGATGGCTCGACCCCTCCAGAGCATTCAGTAAAGTGAACAGAAATAAAGAGAGTGGGCATAGAGCTGGAGACCATAGCATAGACAGATGGGGAAGGAGTCGGGGAGACAGGCAGAGGATGCCCCCCAAGGATACCCACCTGGATGGTAATATCATAGTTCTTCTCGATGAGGCTGTTGTCATTCTTGGTCCCAAAGACAATGAAATTGTGCACTTTGATGACACAGGTGCAGCCAGACTCAAAGATGGGCTCCAGACCGTAGATGGCTCTGGCACGGCAGGCTTTGCGCAGGAAACCGGCGCCCACCTCCATGTCCTCGCTCACCACACGCCCAAAGAGCTTATCCCCCCAGTAGCCTGCATCAGCCAAGCCCTTTGCGAACACCATGGGCGTCATCTCAATCTCCTCTCCAACTGGCAAAGGGAAGAGTTGGTGAGGGGGGACAACATGGGCACCTCCTGCTCCCCGACAGAGCTGCGTGTCCCCTCACAGCAAGGGGCAGCAGTTGCAGCTCATCAGCACATGGCCCTTACCTTCAATCTCTTCCCGCAAGACAAATCCTGACAACACTAGAGGAGACACAAAGCAAAGATGCATTACAGTCCTGCCAGGATCCCACCCTGCCCCACAGGCAGGTGGGACACTGAGGGATGGCAAGGAAGACGATGTGAATCACTCATAAATTAGCAGGCGGAGGCAGATGCACATCACAGAGATGGTGTTTGGGGGGGTACAAGGCTCACCCCTCTGCAGCCTGTCACCAAGCCCTCTTGGTGGCTCACCGTGCTGTCCCATGGCCACCCGGGCAGGCGGGAGAGCTGCCAGGCTGCTGAGGGCTCCTTACCTTCTGGGCTGAGCAGGAAATCAGTGGAGTCGGTGCCATACTCGTTGCTGATCACGCACCGGTAGACCCCGCAGTCCTTCTGGGATGCCTGCACGACAGCCAAGGCTGCCTGGCCCTCGTCGCCAGCGCTGCAAGAAAGGCAGAGCATGGCCTCAGCCCTGAGTGATGCGTGGGGGCACATGGGAGCCCTGCCATGGGCTCTGTGGGAGGGCACTGTGCTGGAAAAGGGCCCAAGAGCATCCCAGCTGCTCCCCAGAACCTCATAGCACAAGGAGTCCCGCCCTGCAGACTGTACTCACAGAGATGCTCATCTTCCAGGCAAACCCTGCAAAGTCTGGCAGAGATTGGGCTACTGACTGACAAAATTACTTGCCTCTGAGTGTGGCTGGATCAGTGCTGTGCTTGGGCTAACAGACCTACATCTAGATGGGATGGCTGGAAGCCAAAAAGCCAGAGCGGTGTCCAGCTTCTTTTTCGTGAGTGAGGGCAGACAGCACCCCCCATCCTGCAGGCTGCTCCTCTCTGAGGGACTGGCAAAGCACAAGTTCTGTACCAGCAGGGTCATGGTCTTCTCCAGTCTGCAGCACCAAGCTTTGGGTTGGCAGGCCCTCTAGCCAAGGTGATGACACACTGGGCAGATGGGTCTCCACAAGAACCAAAGGCCTGTTTCTACCCAGCGTGAACCAGCAAGGGGATGATGGGCTGTGGAGGGAAGAGGTGGGACCCTCATCCTGAGACCTGCTGCCTGAGCCAGCTCTGTTCTGGTCAGCTAGAAGGCAATGGCCTCTCCTGGTCCATCTGCCCCAGCTCAAATATCTGCCATAGGAGATCGTTTCTGCCCCAGAAGCACCTCTTTCTGCCTGCTCATTATAAAAGGAGCTCAAGGGACACTCAAAGGCATCACCAGGCAAATCCTATCCAATGGGCGTGATGTTTCCACACAAGCTCCCTTGGGGTTGAGAACACATTGCTCTCCATAATGCACCCAAAGGAGCAGCTAGGACACAGCAAGCCACCCATCCGTCCAAACGGATCCGTCCAAACTGCTCTCCCTGTGCAAGAGCAGTGCCAAGGGGCAGAGAGGGCACAGTCAGAGCTGCTTTTTCCCTGTTGGTGCTTGCCAGTGGTGGCTGCATGGAAGCACCTGCTTGGCTGCAGTGTCCAGACCCTCCCAACACAGCTCCCACCCTCACACCTATCACTTGGGGTCCCGGTTTTGCAGCTCATACCCAGCTCTCAAACTCCGAGATGGGAACAGCACTGTCCTGGCCCTCCCCAAGGTTTTCCCTCCCCAGGGCTCTACTACTCAAAGCATCAGCCCTTGAACCAGGCTCCAGATGGAGCATCAATAGGACAAATTTGGCCACAATTCCCCATCTGGGCAATCCCTCCCTCTCTGGGCACTGAGAAGATCAAGTTCACAATGTGCCATGCCATGCAATGAGCTTCCCATGCAGCCTAACAGAAGGGGCATCTTCACCCCAGTACATGCAAGGAGCTGGATTTAACACACAAACCCAGGGCTATGTGCAAGGACTACAACGAAGTGGAGCTGGCAAGTTACCTCCTTTGGGCTTCTGCTACAGGGATCTCGTCCTTGTACCACATCAGCTTAGAATCACCCAAAATATTGAAGAACTGGCACCAAAGTTTCAGGTTTCCTGATGCATCGGAAAATTGTTCTGCCCTGATCTTACGGATCACCTGTGGAGCTAAGGACAGGGTACAAAGAGAGTGATGGTGAGACACAGAGTGCTGGCCGCAGCCCCAGGGACAGGCCAGCACCCCAGTGCTGCTGCGCAGGACTTTGGTGGTGGGTGTCACAGATAGGTCAGCACAGTCCAGTATAACATCACCTCCCCAGGGAAGATGTCCCAGCTCCACTTGGATAAATACAGTGGGATACAGTGTATCCCTAGTGTACACCTAGTGGGACTCAGCCAAGGGCAGTGCAGAAAAACACTGCAATGTTGGAGGAAAAATTTATCTACCAAAGCAGGGATTCATCAAGGCTACCCTCACTTTTGCAAGAGTGCTGATTTCTGTGAGGACATCACCTGGCCCTGCAAGCACTTCAACACCAGGATTACACCTTTTCTAATTCAATGCCATGAGGGATCAAATTAGCATTGAGCATGGAGGTGGAAAAGGAGCGTGCCCCGCTCTGACGCCCACTGGACTCCAACCTGCACAAAGGCAAGGTGAGGCCCGGGACACGCAGACCAAGAACACGAGGATTACATGATTCCTTTGGCCAAGGAAGTCCCAGCTGTGGAGACAGCCAGTCTCAGTGCTGCTGTCTCTGGCGTTCCTCTGCCCTCGGGAAGAAGTCTTGGGGCAGACTTTTGGCTTTCACTCAGCCAAAGTGCGATGCTGAAAACCCTGCAAATGCGCAAAGCTCACATGGCCCCAGCTGTCGCTGGCTCAGTTGGCCAGGCTCCCTTTGCAGGCAACAAGGAAAGACATTTCATGGGGATTACCTCTTTCCTTACCTTTAAATGGGTTATTTGCTTTCTTTGACTCTGCTGGCTGTGCTTCTGGCTTAGTATCTTCAGAGACCTCATGGTCACCACTGCTATCACCTGTGGGCTCCTCATACAGTTTAGGAACCTCCAACGTGGCCATCTTCCTCATGAGGGTTGGTGAGCGCTGCTCCATGGGAGGGGATGGAGACAGGGCAGGTGTCTGCAACTGGGCTGCACTCTTCCTGGATTGCCGTGGCGAAATGGTAGGACTTCTCACGTGCCCTTGGCTCTCTGGGGTTGCCTCCTCTTCCTCCCCTACCTGCTTGGTTCTTGGCAGATATATTTTGCGTCGGGCCCCAGAAGCAAGCTCCTCTGGTGTAGCACAAGGTAGCACTGCCAGAGGGTCACCAGGGCTTTCTTTCTCAGGGCTTGCTGGAGTCAAATTGGAAATATTACTGGGAGGCTGCCCTGCTCCCACTGCTGGCATGCTGCCCACCACGATGGCAGGCACTGAGAGCTGGGGTGGCCCCTCCACCTCAGGAGCAAGGCGGGTACGCCTCTTTGGTGGCACAGGCCTGCAAGCCAGCATCTCCTTGCTGGTAACAAACTCCTCATTGATCATGCCCGTGATCCGCCTGGACGTCCTAGGGGTCAGAGGCAAGTTTTCTGCTGTCTGGAAGAGCTGATTGTTTTGTACCTTTTCTAAAACTCTCCTTGAGGTGCGGGGGCTCAAGCCTGCAATGCCTATCTCCGGGAGCACAGCCGCCTCTGCATCAGGCTGCTCCTTCTCCCTGGGGTCTGTGTCCTCTTTTGTGGCATCCTTACTGCTATCTGACATTTGTAAAAGCAGCAGCAAGTAGTTCTTCAAGGAGGAAACAAGATTTTTGTGCTGCATCTTCTCCTCCAAAGACATGTCCTGAGGTCTCTCGGGGCTAGGCAGGACCAGAGGTACTTGTGGTTGAACCTCAGCAACTCCTCCAGAAGTGCCTGAATGTGCTGCCAGTTCCTGGCATGGAGCTGCGGCTGTTTGCTCTCCCCCTTCCTTTCCCTGAGGTCCCACGGCCACTGGATTGGCACTCTCCTCCCCTAACGTGCTGGCTGGAAACTTCTGTTGCAGTGCAGATCGATCCACATCTTTGATTTCCATTTCTCCACTCGCAGGAGGCAGCAGCCGGGCTCCAAACCGGACCGCCGCTGCCGTAGCCTCCATCCCTGCGGTGCCGGGAGCGGTGAGCTCTGTAGCCTGAGCCCCTGTCTCCACTGCGGGAACGGGAAGTGGCTTTTCCTTGGCAACTCGAACTGAGGCAGGAGCTGCCGTTCCAGTCTCCTGATGCCCCAAAGGTGTCCCTCCCACCCCCCTGAGCGTAGTCCCAGGAGATGGCTCCTCTGTGCAGCTCGCTCCTGCCTCTGCACCGGGATGGCTCCCAGACAGCTCTGCTCCTGCATCTTTGCTCTTCCCATCCTCTGCTGCTGTCTGAGGTGGGATTTGCTCAAGAGGAGTGTTTTCTCCAGGCTCTGGAGAACTTGATTTCGTTAGCAATGGCTCTTTCTCGCCTTGGCTCTTGTCCTCTTGATATGAGAGTCCTTGCTGGGTCTCTTTACCCTCGAGAGCATGGGAATGTCCTTCTGCCTGCTTCGTAGACGGAGGGTGTTCTTTGCTGGGCTCCACATGCTCTGGAGAAGGTGCTGGAGCCTTTGGTGGCTCCCGAGGCCTTAGCCGTGGGTTTGTCCTTTTCACAGACCCCTTGGTCTCCTGGCAGCCAGGGGTCTCTTTTCTGAGCTCCTCTAACTTGTTGGCTTGCTGACCAGCCTCTGTGGTTGGACTGGACACTGGATGTTTTAGGCCACTAGCAGGCTGTCCCACTGTTACTGCAACCTACTCAAAAAAAGAAAATAGAAAATTAGTATCATTTTACTGCCTGGGGCCTGCTTGTGGTTCATCTATACCAAGAAGTTGGCTCTGCCCAACTTCTGCCTGAATCGTATGAACCTGGTATCACTGATACTCGTTTATCCAGGGCCTCCTGGCTTTGCCATCATCCTGTGGTAGAGTGTCCCACAGCCCCCTGTCACTCTGCAGAAAACATTTTTTTCTTTTAATCAGCTCCAACTCTTCTGCCTTTCAATCCCTTGGTTGTGCACAAAGAGGCAGGAGATCTGTCCCTCTAAAACATTCAATGGCTTTTAATTCAATCTCCTGGGACAAGGAACCTTCCCAAGGAGGAAAACTTTCTCGTTTTCACCAGCCATTGCTGAGACCTTGTATAATTTTCTTGCTCTTTTTTAAGCCTCAGTGCTCCTCCCATACTATATCTGCAACCCTCACTCCGAGAGGGGGCCACTGGCATGTCACACACTATCTGGATGAGGCTACCCAAGCAATTTATAGGAAAATTGTACACCGTGACGTTATCTGTGCTACTTGACCATCCTGTTTCTTTGACATTCGGGAAGCTCAAATGTTTCTGACCGCAGCTGCATAATAGCAGAGGTTTCAGCAAGCTGCTCACTGTGACAGCTGAGCTTTATCCCGAGGAGATCTGGTTAAATCCTCCAGCCCAGGGACACTATCTATTTTTGTCAGCTAAGGCTAGGGGAGGCAGCGATCCTGCTGATATAGGCTGTGCCCAGCTGATGCTGAATTAGCAACACCAGGACAGCCGCATGGGAACAGGGCACACACACAACGGGTTCCTCTTCCATTCCTTTCCATCTGCTACTAAGGATTGTCTCCTGAGGTCTCAACTTGAGCTTCCAAAACGAACTGCATGGGAAAGGAGGCCTGTAGCACTTAGTCCTTCTATTTTGTGCCCCTTCAGCTTGGTTTGAATGCCTGGAAAACCCAGGCAAGATAATGCCGGTCTTTCAGCAAGCCCTTCCCCAAACAACTGTTACGGCAATGGGAATATCAGAGGAAGGGGTTGGGAGGGACATTAAGGGGAGCCATTCCTGCACACAAAATTAGAGTTTGCTTCCTTGGTAGACTCCAAAGGATGCCAAAGGCTGGGCAGTTTATGTTTCCATGCACAGAAATAGGGCCTTGGTTCACAGGGTTGCACAGACACCCCCAAATGCCACACATTCCCCTAGAGCCAATTCCTCCAGCCTGAGTGTCACACAGAGGATTCCAGTGCTCAGGCTTATAAGGTTCTGTTTGAAGAGACAGGCGGGCTTCATGCAGTGAAATCCCTGGGTTTTACCACAGTATTCAGTCCTCTGGGGCCCAGAAAGGGATGGGGATGGATGGAGACAGCACAGTCCAGACACAGGGCCAGCGCTGGTCCCTCTGCTCGGGGGCTGAGCAGCAGGGTCCCCAGGGGGCAGGAGGTGGACCAGGGCCAGTGGTTCACAGACGGAGGCACAGAAGAGGCTCCACTCAACAGCGCTGGTCAGTGGGGACATCCCTTTGGCTGAAGAGGAATTGGGGCTTGGGGGAAATTTCCTTATCGTTGGTGCATGAACTAAAGCTTGTTCAGAAAAGCTTTCTGGGAGCTTTTCAGAAAAGCATCTGTCCTTAAGTAATCATAAAACACTAGGGGCATAAAAAAGAAATATAATGAAATAATCAGTTTCACAGTTAGGGAAGAGTGATCATCATGCAAATCCTGTTTCTTCTCTGCTTTTGCACGTGAGGATGGCTACAGCCTGGCATTTTGCAAAGCCCTTCTGTTATGAATAAATCCAGCTCAAAAGAGAAGCCCCGAGCATGGTCCCAAGGCCAGGAAAACACTTGGGCTACGACCCTGTCTTGTTTAAGAGAAAGAATAACAAAAGAAAAAGACAGGCAACCCGTGTCCTGGGGAGTGAAAATATCCTCAAACACACTCAGAGTCAGCTTTAAAGGGCTTTAAAATAGCTTATTTGGTCACACAAAAGCCTGAGCACTTTCCCCAGCATCACCAACTAGCTGAGGCATTCAAATTCAAATCAAAAGCATTCCCTTTTGTCTACTCAAAGGCACAGCAGCTGACAAGTTACAGGTTTCCCTCTGTGAGTGGGTTTTTGAAGAGGAAAATACCTTGATCCCTGTCAAAGGCTCAGGGATCACAGCCCAAGCCTGGCAGCTACACACCAACACTCTCCACCCTCCTTAAGAGCAAGGGGCATAAAAATGAGCAGAGAGGGAGAAAAATAATTTATTTGCCACGGGCTTGCATACACAGCAATAATTCCTGCAGCAATATGTGATGCTGATGGGTCAGGTTAAAGACGGGTTCAGGGTGCTGCACTCTGGTGAGTCCAGGACCCAGATACCGTATAACACAGCAGGTTTCTTACTGGTAAATGGTGCTCCTACTTAAGAGAAATCTACAAGAGGAAGAAAGGAGATTTTTTTCCACTGGAGCACCCAGCAGTCCCACTTTTTACATCGTGGATGTTTCCACATCTTTTAAGTATTTGCATTACCTGCTGAGGAAGACGTGCTGCACCCAGAGCACCTCCTCTGAATAGCCTTGCTCTGTGTGAAAGCATGCACCTTACCATAGCTCAAATGCCAAATCCTGGGGGCACCTGCAAACTGGACTCAGAGAACCTTTTACCACAGAAGCAGTCATTAAAGAAAAAAGGCCGGGGGAGCTGGGGTGGGGAAAGACTTGTAGCTTCCAGTCTAACATTTTCATGGAAAATGCTTCAGGTTAAGTGACAAAAATAGAAGTTGACTAAAAGATGCAGTGAGGGTCAGGAGCAGGTGCTGTGCCCTGACACTGCGTCATCACCACAATGAGTCTTGCCATAGAGTTTTTCCAACAGGGGAGAGCCAAAAAATAGCCCAGATCTACTGTATACATGTTGCACTGTAAACAAAATTCAAGGTCCTGCCCAGCACAGCTCACGTGGGGTACCTGGCACATTGCGCTCATTGGCATGGGGGGGCTCCTTACACGCTGGCTGAAGCTCAGGCTCAACTGCTAAACTGAACAGATGTCATCAGTCTCGCTGCCTGTCGTACGCACGAGGCATCCGCCCCCAACTAAAAATAGCCATTCAGTGCTCTCTGCTAAACTGATTTGGAAACATTTTGCATGAGGTCAGGCTGCCAATTAAAGAGGAGAGCTCACAGCACGCCCCAGGCCACCCCGAGACCAGCTGCTCGGCCACAGGGCCCTGACGTACATCGCTCCTCACCACCTCCTCTGACATTTATTTGGAGATGGGCTGGAAGCTCTGCTGTCCGGGCACACAAAGCTCAGGAAGCCTTTCCTTCTGGGTGCTTTAGCCAGCGGAGACCTACGAAGCCTCGGCAGCAGCTCCCATGGGGTACACACCGCCTCCCAGGGCTGGAGCCACAACACAACTGTGCGGCACGAATATTTCCTTGTTGCAACCCCTGCGTTGGCTGCTTTCTCTCCTAATTACCTCTGGACTGACGGCTTTGCTTCCTTCTGACTTCTGTGCTTGGGGCTGGCCTCTCTGTCCCTCGGATGGCACAGGTCCTGCCTCCGACACCTCTGAGGACAATGGAGCATCCTCTCTCTGTCTGCTGACTGCCACAGGCTGTTGGGCAGCCTCACTCGTAGCCTCCTCCTTGGCTCCCGCCTCCTCCTTCCCTGCTGCCGGCTTCATCTGGTTATCAAAATACATTTCTTTCAAAGAGAAGTGCACATCACCATTGATTTTAGCGTCCTGATTCACAGCTTTCCCAGGCTCTTTGGTTTTGGGACTGTTTTCCGCTTCTTGATCATTTGCCGCCCTCAAATGTGCGCTCCTGCGTAAGGGAACAGGAGGGGCAAACCTTGGATTTGGAGAGGGGTTGGCCCTGTCTTGCCCACTTTCTTCTTGCTTTGAAACTTCCTGCTTTGCTGCTGGCAGAGCCTCCACCTTCTTTTTCTTTTTAGCTGCAGAGTCTTTGGTCACCGGTTTAGTTGCTAGCTCCTCCACCGTCTCGTAGATGTATGTGAGAAAGCCATTCCCGTTCTCCTCCACACTTTCCAAAGAGGCATCTCCATTGGTGGTCACCTCTGCTTTCAAAGGTGCTATCAGTTTGTTTGGAAAGCCCGTCATCGCATTGACCGGTGGTTCCTTTGGCTCAGCAATACCCTCATGTAAACTGGACTGGGAATCGGCGACGTGCACTTTTGCTGCATCCTCCTTCTCCCACTGAGAGGCTCCAGACCGGACATTCAGATCCCTGGCCAGCCTCCGCTTTCTCTGAAGCCGATCAGGGCTCATTCCCTGCAACTTCTCCACCTCCACGTTTTCTTTCCCTCGTTTCTTGCCCTGTTCTATCTCTCGTAGCTTTTCTTCAGCTTTTCTCTTAATTTTGTCAAACCACTTCTGATGGATTTTGAACTCCGTCATGGTTCCCACTTCCAGCACGCCAGAGCAGGACACGATGCCTTTGGTGTTTCTAGCTGAGGCCTGGTAAATGCCTGCATCTTCCTCTCGGCACCTGAAACCAAAAGCTCTGTGTGAGACCTGCCCGTCCTCCCCAGGCACTACCGCTGGGCACACAGGCATGCACGTTCTCCCACTTCTTGCTCCAGAGGGGCCAGAAGACGAAGACATGGCCCTTGAGGTGCACGTGGTAGGTCTGGAGGCCAGGGGCAGGCCTCCCTCCCCAGGCTCTGCTCGTTCTCAGCACTAGTGGATGAGCAAGTTGGATGTTAAATCAGTGCCCAGCTCCTCCCTGGGCTGTATCTCTGATAAGAGAGGGCTGTGATGGAGGAGAAACAGCGAGCACCAGGCTTCCCAACTGTGCTCAGCCACATTCCTCTGCAGGATCTTCTCCTCTCAGCTCTTCACAGCCTACATGACATTCCTGTTCTTCCTCCACCCTTGACTCCATCAGTAGACTGCCAAAGCAGCACTTCTCTTCCCTGATCTCATGGTGAGAGCTAGGAAAGGCCTTCCCGGGCAGGGTTGCAGCCCCTTCCCCTCTTTGCCCTTGCTCCTGACAATCCTGTGCACTGTTTCTGTCCTTGTCCTGCCCAGTCCCCCAGAGCATCATCCTGGAGGCAGACAGTGCTTTTCCCTTCGCTCACCTTCATCCAGCCCTAATGCTACCAGCACTAGAAGGCTCCAGAGAAAGAAATTTCTTATGACCTTCCTCTTGCTTCTGGCATGGCAGCTATCCCTGGATGCAGTAACGGATCTCGTACTGATGTGATCTGGGAGTCATCAAAGCAAAGCACTGAAGGGGAAGGGACAGCTGGGAACATGGTGATGGGGAGCTCGAGGGGCCAGCACAGGTGGTGGGGGCAAGTCACTGCTGACAGCCAGCTCCTCGGAACACTGAAAACGTGCTCAGGGCTCCCATTCCCAAATACAGCCTTTTTACTCACTTGTACAGCTGCAGGGTGTGGCGATTTCCATGGCGGAATATCTCGTACTTGGGTAAGCCACAGTAGCGGTCCATCTCTTCATCATCCTTATACCACGTCACCTCTGGCTGCGGGTATCCTGGGGAGGAGACAGACGGTACATCAGGGTGTGAAACATTGCAAGCCTGCTCCTGCGAGGACAAGGCATCAACAACAAAACGAAACACGCCGGCAGAATAGGATACATGTTATTCTGGGCTCACCGCATTCTTTAAATCACACAGCAGAAGCATTGTGAGTGGAAACCTGACGGGCTTATCCAAGTCTTTTATCACCCCTAGGAAGAGGGCTATTTTTGAGAAAAAAATCCCAGCACTTCATTCTTGAACAGAGGGGAGGTGATCACACGGTCAGCTCCTGTAACACTGTCTGGGAGAAGGTGAGCATACTGTCACTTTTAAATGAAGAAGCATGTTTTGATGAGACTAAGGCTCGCCCCTTCATGGAGCTCTCAGCATTTCACTAAGTGTCACAGCCTGTAAGCTGATCCAAAAGTTTCCATTGAACAGAAACAACCTTGATTGCATCACAGCCATCTTGCTGTCCTACAAATGTCACTTGACAACAGATGTCACCTGCCTTTTCAGTAGAATGACATCATGACGTGTGTGACGGGCTGGCTAGCAGGCCAGGCACGCAGCCATGTTCCCCACCACCGACAGTGGTGGTGGCTCAGTGGGACCCACATGGACCAGAGCTAGCCCCAGCCCCCATATCCCACCAACAGCAGACCTAGCCCAGAGTAAGAGCAGTTTTCAGGGGAAAACTGCTGGAGCCAGTGGCCAGCACTGGTTCCTGTGCTTCACATGGGGCTCCCGGCACAGCCAAGCTGACCCTAAGGGCATGGGATAGAAGTTTCAATGATCACATCATGCCTCCGCTTAATTCGATGCACTCAACAGTTGTTCGACGCCCCAAGGTAGGTATCCAAAGCTAATCTTCTGCAAATGCCCCTGCCGGCTTTCTGAGCTGCCAAACTGAAGGAGTCTGGCAGGCTCCTCGCCTCCACCAGCTGCCAAGGGTCTCCTCACCAGCCCCCAATACCCCGAAGGCAGGGTCAGCTCCCATGGACAGCCCTGGCCAGGGCCAGCAAGGGTTCTCCAGGAATATCCAGAGCATCCAGACCTGATAGCTCAGAAATAGAGAGAGGGCAGGGACAGGCCACTACCTACCTACCCCACTTTCCAGCTGCTGACCCACAAGGTTTCAGGGCTGACCAGGGCCCTTTTCATCTCCAGGGCGAGGAGCCTCCTGCTTGCACCAGCCAGAGATGCCAGCAGCCGTGCCCAAGCCCAGCTTACGCCTGCTCCTGTGAAGGTCCCATAGCGGGAGTGAAAGACCAGAAGCAAAGACTCATCAGCAGGAATTTGCCCTGGTTTTGGGTGATTCATAATACCTTTGATCAGAAAAGCAGCATGTGGCAAATCTCCTCCTCATATATCACTTGGTTCCTCCACCCCCACCTGCTCTTCCAATGCACCCTTGTCCCCGTCCTCTTGCTTGTTGGGGCTCTCCATTGTCCTCTGGCCCCTCAAGGGACTTGGCCTGCTCCCCCAGACAGGGTGAAGGAAATAATCTCAGAAGAGTTTTACTTTCCTATTCTCCTCCATGACAGCCCAAACACCCCCACAGCTCAGATCTTACCCTATCCTCATTGAGGTCTCCTACTCTGCATTGCCTCTGCATCTACCCTCTCCACGCTCACCACCTGTACTCTCTCAGGTCTCAGTTGTCTCTTGCACCCTTTCCTGTCTCACTCCCCTCTCACTGCTGCCATCTGCAGTTTTGGCTTTCTGTTGGTTAGTGCCTCGTTCCTCCTCTGCTGCAGGAAGCCACGTCATGACTTTCTCCTGAAGCCCTTCACGCAAAGTTCTCCATCCTCCCCTTTAGTCCCCATCTCACCATGGTCTGCTCTTTGCTGCTGCTCTGGGCCTCCAAACCAGCTTCCAGCAGAAACGCAAAGCCCTTGGATCCTTGCGGCTGAAGCGAATGAGCCCTATGCTGCTAACTTAGAGGTGGCCACAAGAGTATTCCAGAGATGGGTTCACTGAGGATTGATGCTGCTGCTTACATTTTCCATAAATATTCGCTACTAATCATACCTGGCAGCAGGACCCTGGGCTGAACGAGCCTGTGGTGGTTTTTCTGCTCCAGGAATGAGGAACAAAACAATTTTCATACACAGTTCACACTTTGCCCAGAGCAACCCTACCCCTCCCAAGGGCTGCTCTGCAGGCAAGACCTTCAGGTTTGTAATGCAGTGAGCTGGCAGGTAGATTTTCATAATAGCCTGCAAACAGCAATCACAGCACTTCATTCTGGGAACTGCAAGCACATCATTTCTGAGAAGCCCTCTGACGTCCCTCCGTGGCCTCTGCAGCTGATTCCCATTCCCAGCTGACATCTGCCGGAAAGAGCTACAATTTCTACAGCTGCACAGTGCCTCCATGAAAGGCTTTTCCTCCTATAAACTCCCTCTGACCTCTAGCACTTGTGTCCTTGTGTCCCTGTCCTCTACTAGGGGCCACCACCGCACCAGTCCAGTGCAGGTGAGGAGGGAGCAGCCCCTGCTGCAGTGAAAGGCAAGTGCTGGCTGGAAACCCACCCCAGGGACACACTGAAAGGCTTCCACCCCCACCCCACCCCCTAGAAATAGTGGCCCCAGCTGCCTGTTCAGACACCACCCGTCCCTCCTGAGGGGCTGTAAGCAGAACGGAGCAGGGGATGGAGAGACGCCTGCGCAGAGGCTGCCTGGCACGGCCTGTGCCCTGCTGGGAGGGGAGCTGCTGCTGCTGCTGCAGACATCCATCTCTGGGCTGCCTCATGAATAACTCCCCTGGTCCGGGGGGGTGCAAGTGTCACTACGGGGACACCCCCTGCAGCCACAACAGCCACTGCTGACCCGGCTGCCGTGACAAGGTGCTGCTGGGACAGGGTGGCTGAGCCCAGGGCTCCAGTGGTAGGCACTGCCACGCCGCAGGGGGACAGATGCCCACCCTTAGCATAAGCTCTGAGCAAGACAGAGAAGCCATTGATAAATCAGGCACTCCTCCTTCTGAAACCTGTCTCTCCCACGGAGACCCTGTGCAGCCAGTGCCCATAGGGATCTGCCAGCAGCTGGTCCCCTGAGTCCACCAGTGAGTGCCTGGCCATTGCAGACAGAGCAGGGCCAGGCGTTCCTGGGGAGTAGAGCAGGTGCCCACTGCACATCTTCAAGCCCAGCAGAAGTTTTTTGGGAAGCGTGTCTTCCCACAGCATTGCTCCAGCATGACAGTCAGCCATTGCAGGACCAAGGACACTTTTCTGAGCAAGGATTGTGTTTTTTCAGGGAGATTGCCAGGTTTAGATCAAACATCTTTTCCCAAAGCTGTTAAAGTCTGAGAAGTCTTCCAAGCTTTAGTGACCTCATCGAACTGTTGTTCTTGCAATAGCTACCCAAAAATCAGCCAGAGAAACTCTGCTTAAAGCAACTTTCTTTTCAACATTTTTTTTGGGGTGGGAGTAGGGGAGAGTTAGTCTTCTGAAAGCCAGGACAGTGGGAAGAGTGTAGAACAATTATACATTATCTCCATGGCCGCCTGTTTCTGCTCTACACAAACTACGTGGAATAGGGGCTTCAGGAAGTTTTGGGAGGAATAGTCATAGTAAGATCTCATCCTTTCTGGTTTTATGGATTTAAACCTCCCCATCACCTGAAAACAAGGAGGCTTACAGTGATGCTCACATAAGGGACATACTCAGTAAGAGCAATAGCTTCCCATGCCACCAGCTGGCAAGCAGTGCTCATTCTCCATCCCTCTCTTGCCCTGGCTGCCCCAAACCCAGGCATCCCCATCTCCCACCAGTCTGTTCTCTGCTCTTGTGCTCACTGCCCCATCCCCAAACCCACCCATCCACCCCTCTTGCAGCCCCTGCATTTCTCCAGTCATCCTTCATCCACACACTTCATCCTCATCCTTCAAACACCTCCCTAAGAGGGCCACCATGGATGCAACAAGCTGAACTCCTTTATATTTGTTAAAACCCTCATCTACTAAGCATGCAACTGTCTACTCACTTGACCCCAACTCTCTTCCCCAAGCCATGGCCAGAGCCCTTTCCCCTCCGTAGCCCTACAATAAAACCAGACTGGTTTTGTTGCCATCCCCTGCAGGGAAGTGCTAGTCAACACAGTGCAGATGCCCACACTAACACAGCAAGTGTGTAGCATGGCAGAGGTACCAGGCTGAACGCTTCTTCAGCGTGAGCACTGACGCATGAAGGGAGTGATGGGACTGAGCTCCTGACCTGATAATTTGGGTAGCCAGGTCAGAGGGGTCGAACCTGCCTAAGGAGGGCTGACATGGCGCTGAAGAGGCAGCTGTACAACAGTGGGCAACACCCAGTACTGATATACAATGGTCTGGGCTAGATCCAGTCATCACCTCTCCTGGTTGGCTTCATTCACAGAATCCCAGAATGGTGGGGGTTGGAAGGGACCTTTGGAGATCATTTCGTCCAACCCCCTGCCAGAGCAGGGTGATCCAGAGCAGGTTAGACAGAAATACATCCAGGCAGGTTTGGAATATCTCCAGAGAAGGAGACTTCACACCCTCTGTGGGCAGGGCTCTGGCACCCTCAAAGGAAAGAAGTTTTTCCTCAGGTTGAGGTGGAATTCCCCTGTTCCAGTTGGTGCCCATTGCCCCTTGTCCTGTCACTGGGGACCACTGAGAAGAGCCTGGCCCCATCCTCTTGCCACCCGCCCTTTAGATATGGCTCAGCATCGATGAGATCCCATCTCAGTCTGCTCTTCTCTACTGATATACAATGGTCTGGGCTAGATCCAGTCATCACCTCTCCTGGTTGGCTTCATTCACAGAATCCCAGAATGGTGGGGGTTGGAAGGGACCTTTGGAGATCATTTCGTCCAACCCCCTGCCAGAGCAGGGTGATCCAGAGCAGGTTAGACAGAAATACATCCAGGCAGGTTTGGAATATCTCCAGAGAAGGAGACTTCACACCCTCTGTGGGCAGGGCTCTGGCACCCTCAAAGGAAAGAAGTTTTTCCTCAGGTTGAGGTGGAATTCCCCTGTTCCAGTTGGTGCCCATTGCCCCTTGTCCTGTCACTGGGGACCACTGAGAAGAGCCTGGCCCCATCCTCTTGCCACCCGCCCTTTAGATATGGCTCAGCATCGATGAGATCCCATCTCAGTCTGCTCTTCTCCAGCTGAACAGCCCCAGGTCCCTCAGCCTTTCCTCAGCAGAGAGATGCTCCAGTCCCTCATCATCCTCGTAGCCTCCGCTGGACTCTCTCCAGCAGTTCCCTGTCCTTCTTGAACCCAGTGCTCCAGATGTGGCCTCCCCAGAGCAGAGTAGAGGGGGAGGATCAACCTCCCTTGACCTGCGGCCACCCTCTCTTTAACACACCCCTTGGCCTTCTTGGCCACAAGGGCACATTACTGGCCCATGGGCAACTTGTTGTCCACCAGGACACCCGGGTCCCTCTCTGTGAAGCTGCTCTCCAGCAGGTCTCCAGTACAGGCCCTGTACCTGTACTGTTGCATTCCCTAGCAAGCAGTCACAGACGCAGGCCCCTTCATCCAAGTCCCCACATCTGCCAACATCTCTCCTTCCCAGTCAACGCAATACAGAAATGACTGAAAAGTTGTAAAATTCGTGTAGTAGCACCTCCAATAAGGGTCACTCTGAAGAGAAGAGCCCAATATCCACTCACTGGGAAGGATCTGTGATAACCCTTGAGATCCTGAAGTCCAGACAGACCCACCAAGGAAAACACTTGGTGCAGAGAAGTAGGGTGCACTCTGCTCTGCAGGAAACTGCAGAGAAAATGGAAATGTTCTCATTCCCTTTTTCACATCTCTTAGAGAAGAAAGGATGAACCAATTTTGTCTAAAAAAAGAAAACATGTCACAACTGATGCAGGATTTGACCCCAAACAATCAAATCAGACATACCAGGGACATCAGTAGCAGGCAGAACTAGGCAACAGGAGGAAAGGAGGGTTTGCGCAACCACCCAAGAGCATCAGGAACTCTGCTTCTGCCTTACTTGGTTTTTTCTTGCTTGTACCAGCAAGCACATTTTGGAGACTCGCTGCAAACACTTGCATCTTTCTGCCTTCCTAGGACATGCCTAGGAAGTCACTGGTATCCACAGGTGTGGGACCACACTGTAACTCTCATTATTGCTAAAGAAGCAGCAAAAAAAAATATTAGGATGTTATTGTAGGTCATGTATCCATATTTGAGGTTTGAGAGTCGTAACAGGAGGAGCTGTCTGCCCTTTGCCTCCCGCAAGTCTACAAACCAGTGTCCCTAGACTCCAGCCAAAGCAGTGTGACTGAGCTGGTTCCACTCTGGTCACTGGCCAGGGATGGAACTATCACTTTCTTTCTCCACATCATGTCTCCCAGTTGAAAGTAAACATCTTGGCAGGGGGAGATGGCTGAACTACTGATCAGACTCTGCAGTCAGAGTTTGCTTTCCACCTCCTGCCCCTCTCTCCCAAGGAGATTCTGAGCTCCTAAAGCAGTCCAATGGCCACATGGAAGAGATGACTGTGTGGCATAGGTGGTCCAGGCTGCTTTTAAGGATGTTTCCATGAAAATTCTTAATTTTGTAGGTTTATTAAATTAAGCGTATAAAGACATCCCCCGATCTAGTTTACCGGTACAAAAATACTGTGATAGGCTACATGCTGAAGATTTGACACTCTACTGCACTTGAGTAGAAAATAAGACCAGTATAAGGTCAGTTTTTCAACTTGTAATACACCAGGTTGCCCTAACAGTACTAGCAGGTCATCCCAAACCTGGAAGCCAGTGTCCTGGCTACCAAGTGCAAGGGTGGACACCAAAGAAGGGCTACAAACTGGACAGGGACTGGATCTGTCTCTACATGTTGATACTTTGATTTTGGTAGAAGCAGAGGAGGTTATTCTTTGGCAGCATGTCTCCTGCACAGTGAACAGGACAATAAGTCAAACGTTTGCCTTTAGAAAACTTTAACTGGGAAAGAAAGCTCTCCTAATGAATTACTGAGAGCCGCGGCTTGAATGTATCTCCCTAGCAGCCCACGTCCTGCTGCTTGGGCAAAAGTGGGCTGCTAGGAAGTTAAGCATCAATGAAGTCAATGTATTGGTTGTACCCCTGCGAGTTCCAAGAGTCAGACCAGTAAAATTCAGTGCTGGCAGGTATCAGAAGGGCTCAGTATGTGTTTCCTGGTGCACAGCATGTTTCTAATGACAAACTAGACTTCCTAAATTGTAGGAAAGCCTTAGTCCTTGTGACTAAGAGGCTCACTGTAGATACCCTCCTCCTTCTAAAACTTACAAACTTGTTTAACATCTTTTACTGAGTAACCTGTCAGAATAAACAACATATGCAACATCAGGAAGGATCACAGAGTTGTAAACAAGTGCATACTATGGAAAAAAAGAGGGTTTACCATCTCTATATTTCAAGAGCTCATCAGCAAAGAAGCCACTTGCCTTACATCAACACACTGCCACGCCACATCACCACAAACCCTCTTTTTCAGCCTCCCCCTTCTTCTCTTATTGGCCTAACCCCTTCCTGCCCAAGGTCAGATGGGCTCATTGGGCAGAAACTGGCTTTTATTTCAGATGCTGACAAACACAGGGGTTTATCACTGATGCAAACGCAGCTGCACTCTAACCATCTACAGCCAGCAGAGCGCCAGAGCTGGCTCCAATATGATAGCCTTAGTCTTCAAAACTGCACATTCCTGAGTTACGGAGTCCAGGATCAGCAGAGATTTGGACAATAAAATGTAGCTGGCCCAAGCAGTAACCAGAATATTTCATTTTCTGGTCTTCAATTTGCCTTTGCCTCTTTACAATCTCAGGTGTTCTCCTCCCCACCCCCCCACCCCCCTTAAATTAAAGCTGAAATCATCATGCAATTGCTGAATCTTTACTTGGCAGTCTGACAGCAGTGAACTTGTTAATGTGTTGCCTTGTTATCACTTGCTCTGGAGTTTAACTAGCAGGAGTCCAGCAAGTGAGGCAGGGCCAGGTTATTCACCGAAGACACTGTTACCTGTCACTATGCACGTGAATTTAGCATCAGAGTCCTCGGACACAGAACGGGATTTGATAGTGGTTTCAAATAGTGGCTGGGGTTCCTCCGTCAGCTGAGAAATGATTGCGCAGAAGGTGCTCCTGGAAGATTTAAGAAGCGTTTCTTAGAGATCAAAGAACTAGAAAAATAAAAGGGTCCCTTTCTATCTCATCTCAGAAGCCTGCATTCTTGTTTTAAGTGCCCTCCTTCCCTCCCATCATCCCTACACTAGGTTGTTCACAAGTTCAGTCCAGTGTCAGGGTATTTAACTATTTTTTCACCCCTAAGGCAATTCTGTCAATTTAAAGTGTCATTTGGGAGATGCTCCCTTTGTCTTAGCCCTTAAAGGGGCTATAGGGGTAATGAATGTCAGAATCATTTTAGTTCTTGCTTACACTGGAACATCTCTGGGATCAGACAGTAGCTCAAAGCAAGGAACCAACAAAATCAGCTTCACATTCCCGGTACTACACAATCAATGTTTCAAGTGTTGTTCTGTTCACCAGGATTTTACTCTTTTTTTTTTTTGTGATTTTACCTCACGTTGTAATTTCAGGCCAAGTGTGAACTGAACATGTCTCCTGAACACAATAACCCTCTCTGAAAGCTCTGAATTAAGAAAAACTGTCTGCTGCGGATCACTGAAGGAGACTTTGAGCCTGACTTGCAGCTTTCAGCACTCAGAAATCATATGTGAAGCTGATGCCCACCCATTCCCTGTCTCACCTCTCCCTCTGCCTGCTCCAGGAGCTCAGGACTGACCCCAAAGCTCGGGTTGGGACACCCAAACAGCCAAAACTATCCAAATAGCCAGTGCAATCTCTGAAGCTCATAAAAATGGACCTTAGATTTTCCAGTCATTTAAGCACTACTCAAGGACAGCACTAAATCAGTGTATTCATACAGCACTACCAACCCTGCTGGAACATCACTGAGAGAATCCCCAGAAGACCTAGGCTTTCTTAAATAAAGGAAAAGGATTAATTCCAAGTTGGGTCTTCATTTGGATAGTCCCCTGGGGCTCTTGGAAGGGAAGAGCTTCTTTTATTTTCCCCCTCTGCAATTAAAACACTACATGTTTACTCTAGGAGAGAGGACCCCTGGGTCTCAAGTGCAAGGACTGTAGGAGAAAAAGCAAATATTGCAAGAGAACCAATAGCTGGCAGCTCTACTTATATAATTTTCAGCAGGGAAAGACATTCCTTAAACAAGTGATCAGCTTCTAGAGACATGCAAGAGGTGGAACAAATCCCCAAACCATTCCTAACACAGCTCTACCACGAGCAGAAGGGCTCATAGCCATGGTGAGGGCTCCACAAGGAGGACCCAGCCTCACAAGCAGCCCCCAGCTTGCAGGCAGGATGCTGGTACCGCTGCTACTCATGCTCTACCTGCTGAGGAAGCAGACTTATTCAGGAAAAACAAAAAATCCAAACTACATTTAGCATGACCCCAGCAAGACCAGGTACACTGAGAGGCTCCGCAGCAGGACTAAACTGCATGGGCAGCTGAAGGTGCCACGAGAGCTCCAGCCACAGCAACTGCCTGTTCCATCCACCCAGAAAACTTACCTGGAGGCTGCAATTCAGTCATTTTCACTCTGGATTCTTGTTAGAATGGGTTTGTAAGAGATGCAGGGAGATGAATCCCTGAGCAGCAAACAACCAGGGTGCTGTGGGAGCCTCCCCCAGCTCCCAAGTCAGTTTGTGTTGGGTGAGCAAAAGGGACAGATGCAGCTAGGGCTCATCTACTGAACAAGGCTGTATCCAAATACACATGTGGGATGGGGTAAAAAAAAGAGATGCCACAGCTTAGACTCTTTTCTGTGGAAATCAGTGGTCCCAAGGAGACTGGTCCTGGCAAGCAACTCTTGACAGCTACACGGCCAGGAAAGGGCTGTGGGAGCCCACCAGCTTTTTCAAAACCGAGAAACCTTTCCATACACCAACCCAGGAGGAAAAAATCCCATTTCTAAAGAGCAAGGCAGACAATCCACTACCAAGGCAGTTACTGGTGGGGTTTTAATGGCCTCTTCAATACAGATCCCCAGCCCTAGACCAGTAAATGCCTTTTAGATCCACATAAGGCACTTCCCAAGCATCAGTGAACATTTCACACCCCAGCAGAAGAGCAACTGGATCAGCATCTTAAAAAATAGTGATGCGCACACACATAGTGACACTCGGGACCAAGTTTAATCCCAGTACTATGCCACTGGTACCAGCAGGCAGCACCAGGAATAAGTCTGGTCCATTCAGTGCAAACCCCACAGTCAGGTGAAATACAGCAAAGGCTACTGAATGGTTTAGGGAAGTAGCATCCCCAGAAGCTAGGGACTCCACAGGCAGGGCAGATGAATCAGAGGGGACCTGCCCAGTGTACACTCGGCAGGAAGCCTGGAAGGTCTATTTAATCTTTCAAAGAAGCCATTGTATGAGTCACAGGGGGGAGGGAGGGAAGGGGGAAGACTGGAGCACTGTGAGGCTCTCAGCTGACTCACTCCAGCTGCAATGGGACTTGCCCAATTCAAATTGCTTTCTACACCAGTAATTGAGAGCATTCGAGAAATCTGAGACAAAGCAGCAGCTCTTCCTCCAGGCCTTCCTGAAGCTGCATCTTTGCTGCAGAAAAGGCCCTGGACCCCAGGAAGAGGACACTGGCAATTCAGTAGCCTTTTTACATTAAAGAGGGATTTCCATACAAAAGCAGTCTGCAGGAAAAGGAGATTTGAGAAGTGTATTCCTCTTCATCACCATCTTCTTTTCCTGACTTTTGCTCAGCAATCTCGAAGTACAGGGGTGTTCTGGAGAGGCCTTTCCCTCCATGGTCATTCCTCTACTTGCCTCTGCAGCAAACAGGTAATGCCAGCTGACTTACAAATGTGTTATTTTTGCCAAAGGCAAAGTACAATTGTACAAGTGCATTTCAGGGCAGAGTTCAAATGAATGAGGACCTTCACAAGAAAGCACAGAATGGCACAGGATGGCAAGGCGGGGGAGGGGTGAAAATTTATTCTTTGAAAGTAGAAACAGGCAGACAGGCACATCTAATTTTTAATGTCTCTGTATGGAAGTCTCACTTTAATATCAAGAAGTAGCTGAACACCCATCCTTTGCTAAGAACGTGGAATATTTCTTGCACCTTAATACAGGAATTACAATGAACATTCACTTCGTTGTCTGAAGTTCAAGCAAGTATTAGGGATCCAATCATGCAGAGTTAGGCTGTTAGATCACTTCAGGGCTCTCTACTGATTAATTAGTACCAAAGCATTACAGATTAATCATGTGCAGTCAGATTCAGCAAAGTGTTTGGTCAGAGCAGTTTAATGCAATGTAGTTTTACCTTCCTAAACTGGAGGGAGAGAATCTGCTGCTTGATAAGCTAAGCAAAAAACAGCATAAAAACCATTAGACAGAGAAGCATGGAAAAGAGCTGAAATAAACAAACCGTTACAGAGACATATTAATGATGAGTCGTTTTGCACAGGTCAGAGTTCCTATTAAAAGAAGGTTCAGCTGCCTTACTCAGGCTGACTGCCAGGACGAGCAAGCCACATTGTCAATTGAAATCAAAGGCTGTAAAAATGAAATGGTCGTTAGCCACAGAGAATAAGTGTAAGGACATTTATACAAGTAGGTTTCCAGGAAGCAGCACCTGAGCCTTCCATGCACCATCTGCAGCGTTGTGCTCAAAGCAGGCAACTCCACCCCAGGAGAGGTCCCATTACCAGCAGGTGGGAGCACAGACCCCGCCGCAAGCCCACTTCTCTGCTGGCCAGCGGGTGGCCTGAGCTGGCCACCCTCTCTGCTTCAAGGACAGCTCTTTAGAGAAGCTGAAAGCTCTCCGGTCACTAAACACCACTTCCCAGCTTGCCAACCAAATCCCTAAGGTCTGGCAAAAAAAATTTAAAATAAAATAAAAGATGTAGACTTTACAAGAAGCTACAGGTTTTTGCTTTTTTTGCAGGAACATATTATAACATCAACAAATTCAGGGAAAAACACAAAAAACAAACACCCAAGTCCTACACAAGTTACACGCAGATGAGCTACTTACCAGTGGCCACCAGCTCTCCCAAAGGAGTGTCTTCAAGGGCTCATGTCCCATCCTAAAGGCCACATTGCCATATTGTGGCAGCAGTCCCTTGCAGGCTGTAGGAAAAAACCTCTCGGCATTGACCAGCAGCATCAGGAGCAGTTCCTCAGACCCTGAGCTGATCCACAGGGCAACCAAAAGCCTAAAATTAACTAGGTACCAGCTAGTCCATGGCAGGCATGCTCAGTGCCTAAATCACACTGAGACGTGTTAGTTGTGCCTACACAACCGCCTCCCCATGCAGCACAGACATCCCCTGTGGGAGGTACAGTCAGATGCCCACAGCGGTACATGCGGGCAGACCAAACCTTCTCAGCTTCAAGCACTAAAGACCACCATTGAACAACCAACCTTCAGTGCTTTAGGATGATGCTACAGAAGACAGCATGAAGAACTAAGAAAGCTGGAGCTCTTCAGGTGTCCTGTCCAACTGACAAGATCCAGGCTGTGTGCAAGTCCAAGTCCCAAAAGCAGGACTTTAAGCCTTGCCCCAAAAATGACCACAGAGAGTCTCTGCAAACTGCTCCTGCCAACCATATAGCACTTCAACCTGCAAAGGCAGAACCTCCATGCAAATAATAAGTAAAAAAGTTCAGCTTGAAGGCCTGACACTTTACACAAATAATTGCACATTTTCATTAGGGAAAAAAACCCCAGCACTCCAAAGAGCTCATTGACTCCTCTCCTTCAGATCAGGAAAGCAAAGACAGAAGTTTTAGACAGCCACGCAGGAGTAGCTTTAACCCAACAAACATGCCCTTCTGGCAGCAGCTTCACCCTCTCCACCCACAGCCACACGATCCTGATCCCTCCCCGGTGCCAAGTGCTGTTCACGCAGCCAGAGGATGAGCAGGTCAGGCGTTATCCAGCTGGAAAAATCAAACACTAACCATAACAGGCTGAGGATCAGCCACCCGATTCACCTCGCATGCACTGTGCTGGCCCACGGGAGAAGTCATCCACAGGAACTTTGTCTTTCCAGCTGTGCCCCACCTCCTGGGGCATCCCTTTGAGCCCCATGTCCTTTCCAAGACTGCAAGGCCTGCCTTTGCGTTACCTGCCTTACTGGCCAGCACGTCACCTTGTCCTCATCTCCCAGCTTAGAGAACTCCCAGCACATCTCCAGCTACTCTCACGCTGCCCTGACCTCCTGAAGGGTGACCTCCCCAGGGCATTCCAGGGGAGCAGCACCCACAGCCTGTGTCCCTCTGCTCTGGGTGTCCCCAGCCACCTCTGGCTGGCTGCAAACACAACTTACATAGTCTCAACCACCAGCTTTCCAACAGTAAATGACCCCCAAAACATTTTGCATACCACTGCAAGAGGAAAACGTCCTTTTAGCCCCCAGGGAATACTAAGGACCTGGCATGGCTTGAGGAGCCAGCAGGGAAGATCCTAAAACACTTGCTGGAGAATGCTAGTGTAGGCAGAAGTGTGGCTTTAATCACGCTTCCTTGCAAGAGACAAAGGAGAAGGTGTCTTGGCTTGGACATAAAAAAAAAAAAAAAAAAACC